TTATTTGGCTCGGAAACAATATTTCGCCCTGCCTGCAATCGTGTTCAATCAGTATCAACCAGTGTATTTCGAGTAAATGAAAAACTTTAAAAAGCCAGTTTAAGCCGTGCAGATAGGTATGGAACGTAGTTAAAATGCAAAAAAATTTTGCAAGTTGTCTTAGTATGCGGAATGCATAAAGCTAATAACGAAATGTAGTAGTCAAAAAAGCGTGGAATTTGCGAATTAACAAAGAGTAGCACGTTCACTGCATTTTCACGATGCAATTTTCACCAGGGTCAAAGTTAACCTAAACAAAATTATCTATTGAAATCGTGAAAGTAGTAGGTTTGTAGTTATATCAGTCCCATCGTTTGGACCAAAAACAAAAACGTGTGCACTCGCACGGTATAGGTGGTCTACCACCACGAGGTCTACCTGTTGAGTGATCAGAAACACTTTAAAAAACCGAAGTTCGTCTATGTTCCGTGACCTGGCATGCCTTTATCGTTGTGGATCGGATATCCATTCAAGCAAGCAGTAACATACATACATCTGCTGGCTTCCCGAAGCTTTCAGGACAACTTTGCTGCCTGCGGTAACTCGTCACAGGTATAGTCCCAGGATAAGCTGCTGATATCTCGCATATACTGATTCTTTCCCATACCCTCTTCCTTCTCCTTCTGACATGGACGGCAATTTTGTCTGCTACTCTGTGGCGGCTTCTGAAATGCCCTGTAGGCAGGGTCAGCATCCCAGCATCGATCTGAATGCCCGTTTATGGAAGAAAGTACTCATCGGGTCTCTAAACTGCACGCTTCTTTCCAACAAAGTATTTGGACTTTTATAAAGTGCACCTGATCGCAATGCTGGGGTTTTCTACAGAAGGTCAACAGCTTAACCGGCAAATGTGCATATGCTACTGTAGACAAAGTACTGACAAAGGTGGAACAGGTCGTAATAGCCATATCTTCCTCGTATTCAGTGAGCAGTCAGTCGTGGCCCAAGTTCAGTTAAGGCAGATTTAATAAGTGCACTTTCTTCCTACGATTTCAGTGAATGGTCCCCATTTTGCCCTTTGTATCACGCTTTTAGCCTAGAAATTTGATCAAGATAATCAACTTCTAATAAACTTAGGCGCTTGCCATTGCTTTTGAATATCTTTCGCCTACTGAGTATTTTCTGTTAAGCCCTACTTCCACTGACTACACACTTTCATCACAGCCTCTTGTGTGACGGTGACTAGGG